AACTCAATCATGCGTTCATTTCCAAAAGTCTGTACCAAATCCAGTTATTACGCAGCATCGCATGACTGAACAATGCCATTTCAAGTGTAAGTGACAAATGGGATGGCAAAAATCGAGAAGAGATTTTGAAGGATACAATCCCGCCCTAATTCAGCGTACGAGACGTCCAAGCAACTTCCTGGAGAGAATCAGGTAAACAACAAAACACTTCGGACAGCGGGTAACCAGGTAACACAACAGACTGTTAACGCTACACTGACCTCATGACAGTGATCACTCACCCCTGTCTAGCACCAAGGTTAAGAATGAGTAGGGGCTATACCACCACTCCCCCCAAGTGCCTACATGGCACATAGCAGGACGGCTTTTTACTTTACTGTACTCTATCATCAATTGCATTTATTCCTCATTACCACGTACGTTCAGCCTGATATTGGTGTTCGGAGGTGTAACAATGCCCTAAGACCATTGCTGTAAAACAACGTTGCTCAAAACGACCTGGGATGGCACTAATACATCAGTGACCTTGGTAAAGTGGTGTAAAGAATGCCTTCCAGTCTCGTTACTGAACCTTGCGACAACTCAACCCGACAAATCTTCAAAGTTTATAGACCAAATCATTTCCAGTAGATTTTGGCAAATGAATCTATCCCAAACCTAGGCGTCATGTTAAAACGCAGAAGATATGCCTTTAGGAAAGAAAATATACGAGTTCCAGATGTATTATCTCTACTTGAAATACTGAAGTTATAAGTTAAGCATAATCGAAAAAGTTTAAACCATGACGACACACAGTTTCCAAATATATTCTTTACACCTCTGCATTTTGAATGCTGCAAGATGGAGAATAAAACTATAGTAAATTGCATAAAGTCCTACAACAGCAGCGGTTACCTTAAGTAACTTCCACACAAAGATATCAACATACTACAGATAATGTAAAAGTACATGCATGTTTTCAACAGAAGACTGATGAATTCTTTCCTCCTTATCTTAAAATTTGCAAAACAAAGTCAAGCACACTGCTATCCAAGTTTACCACTTACCACTATCACTTCTGTTATCACGAGAAACACATCAACTCACATTTTAAATTCACTGTCATTCTTCTTTCCCGATTAATTCAGACACTTGTCGAAAACAAGCACAGTTTTAAACCGAGGGCCTCGACATTGTTTCTACTACGCGTTACAAACGATTCAGCCCATAAAATATAAACAATGCATGTTGAGATTTCTCTTGTTAATTTAAACAAGAATTTACCCAAACAAAATGTTTCATCTCATTCGAATAACTGTCATTTATAATTTTACAAATCACGAGTTCTTAACGTCCCTTTTATCTGTCGCACACAACAAGGGGGCATTTAGCAATGTGCTCGCATACTGGACGGTCATGTGACTGAATCCTCATCAGGTCAAAACACTTTCTTCTTTATCCGGGTACCATGCACTTGTTTCGCCATTATACAAGACTTACCATAACAAAAGATGTATATTTTTCCTCACGTGGATTCATTTTGTGCTCAACATGCAGAGAATGCACAGAAACAAACATAATTCTAACTTGACAGCAGTTCCTGTATTAGAAGAACCGATCATCCAAATCTTTTCCAGATTTAGTCTGTATTTAGGTCACATGAAATTGTAGAGAGCCCCATACCAAAAATTCTTTACATGGATGGGACCAACGTGCCCATGTACATTGGAGGAATCAATAAGTCTGCCTAATATGAAACAGGCAAGACATGCTATGAATGCAGGTGAGCCGGGATAGCTCAGTCAGTATAGCGACTAGCTACGGGCTGGACGACTGGGGTTCGATCCCGACGGGGCAGAGGATTTTTTTCTCTAGCTTCTGTGTCCAGACTGGCTCTAGGGCCCACCCAGCCTCCTATCCAATGGTAGCCGGATCCTTTACTGGGGGTAAAGCAAGGCTGAGGCATGATGCTGATCACTCAACCCCATCTGGTGCCGGGGTCAAGAATGATTAGGAGCTATATATCCACCTCTCCCCCCAAGTGTCCAGGACTGCTTTACTTTGCCATGAATACAGACTAGGTCAAATTTGAACTGCCAACATAAAGAAATGAGACGACCCTTTCATAATATTCTAGCCAATCGGTCCTGTTAATTTTAAGAATTTTGTCAAATTACGGGCAGTCACTTTTGTGGAACTACGATGGCCGGTATACATTTTTACCAAAAGTCAGTGGTAAAGGTAAGGTTGGCACATGCATCACACCACTACTGCACCTCAAGGACTGATCAGCTCAAGCCCTCAGCATCAAGACTTAACCTAAACTGTACAACAAAATAAAATACAGGAAGATATTCAAACATTCGACACAGCAAAACAATAAGTAAGCCGCAATATTTCTAATACCACTTGAATTAATGAGTACCAGACATTAAAAGCACCACTTTCACCACTGCCATTCTTATTCTAAGAATCTAATTTCATCCTGGCAAGTAATTCTGTGGTAATGTAGAGACCGAGCGAGAAGTGCAAAGGACTGATTTTGGTCGTATGAGAAGGACCGGTCTGAAGCACGCGCTAGAGCGGTGTCATCTCAGTTGGTTTAGATCAGTGCATCACTGCAGCTGAGGCTGTACGACCACTAATACTGAACTCCCCTCTCTCGGCTTACAAATCGTGCATTTAGGTGCCGCCACCACTACTCGAGCAACCTCTACCACACATTTAGGAGTCCCTATTCCTTCTCTCTGAATGACCAGCCAACCAAAACGATTACTGAGCACAAACCAAGCACACAAATACCAAACACTGAAAGATATATCAGGATCTCGGGTTTTCACGCTGGTGAGTCCCAAGACGGCTGTTTTCTAGGTTGTAGTGCTGCATGATGTGGTAGAAATTTACAAACGTTACGCTTGCCCATCAACCTGCTGATGTAGGCATCAAGGATCTCTGTAACAGAAAACTTCTACCAGAATGCACAGCGTTACAACCCAGAAATCAGCCATCCACTGGAAGATATGCCTTACGACTTCCATTTAACAAATCAGCTGTACGGTGAGTGGAGATCCAATGATTAGCTCTCACGCCTAAACACCTTTACCTCCTGACAGGCACACCATAAAGATAAGTTCAGCTCCACAGCTGTTAGTCAATAACCGAGATTATGATGGTAATGCTGGTGTTCACCTGTGACTGGGTATTATTACATAAATTAAGTGCAAACACCTGACACAAAACCTTCCAGCCCAGTCCAAAAAAATAAGTGTTAGTATGTAAAGAGCAAAAGAACAGCTTTCCTGCCATACATCAACACTTTTATATATTACTTCAGAAACAGCCCTCAAACCGAGAACAAAAAAATTCCTTAAGACATAATTTCAATATCAAGACTAGAATAATATTTCGCAGATTAGCCCTTTAAAGCCCAGTGGTAACTATATGTACCACCTGTCCTAACATTCAGTAACTCTACATTCTTCCCACACAGTGTATTTATGGGTTTCATACAATTATCAGAATAAACAGTAACTATTTCCATAAACAACATTAACCAAATGATCACTGTAATGGAGACATTGTTTCTTTTGATTTAAGAACCGAATTCTTAGGTGTCATTCAGGCGAACTTCGGCTTCAAAGGATTAATTACGTCCAAAGGCTTTATGTTTAAATTCACATTTGTAAACATGCAAAACATAAATATCAAAACAAGGGAATATGGACACAAAAAATGTGGTATAAATCTTCTGGATAAGCAAATGTTATATATAAATATTCATTAAACATATAGAATAAATTAATAAACTTCCTACTATGTACAGGCTTACTTCCTGTAAAGGTGAAATTAACAGTTATGGAGCTAAGGAAACATCTGAACATCAGGTTAATCCTGAACGTGAAGCAAACGTGATTCAAGATTCTAGATACATCTTCTATATGAAGCCCAGAAGAAAATGCCATACCTGAATCTGATGTAAAAATGACATTACGCTTTGTGAAATAAACTTCTGGCCAACATTATCGTGGCTGTTGAAAAACACCTCAAGTATAACAAATTCATCTCGAACTACTAGCCGTGTAAGGTGGCTCGAGAAAAATTTATTATACTTATTCGCCACGAAAGCTTCGGATCATAAACCTCAAGTATCACATTCCCCTTTGAGCAGTCTGCTTGCATTATGAGACTTTACATATGAATTGTGGATCGTGACGGTAGCACCACTTTTAATTGACAGTGATAACCCAAAACACCTGCAGTGACAGTCAATTATCCAACTGTAATGAGGTAGCTTCTTCACACGGATCCTGTAAGAGATATGGAACAAGTTGCCATATGACGCACGTCATCACGAAGAACCACGTGGCACCTGTCATATAATACAACGACAGTTTCAACAGCTCAGTCAATCATTCCTCTACGGCCCTCTCAGACACTGGCAGTAATCTGCCCCATCCTTTAAAGACCTAAACCATCTGTACACAACCGCCCGACTCAAGGCCTTAACCATGCAAAACTTGATGTTTGCTCCCGAATCAAATTTTAATATCCTCTGTCGTGGTCTGAAAATAAAATCTGCCACACCAAACATGACTCCGGTGCATTTCTTGCTCTCTGTAATCCAAATACGAGTGCCAGAACAATCACCGCCTACACCCTGCATACATACCACACGCTCAGACATGAAAATTCACAAAAGTATTGCACCACTCAGCCAGTACACGTTGAAACATTTTGACTCTACCACAAATAGATGGCTGAACTTTAAAACCATTTTTATTAACAGTACTTTCAGAAATATTCAAGTACACATACAAATTTCACACAATACGCCGAAGATTACAAAACTTCTGACCATATTATAAGCAACAACGTACTCTCAAACCTCTGACAAAGAATAAAAAAATTCACACTTTCCAAACCATTTCTCAACCACACAGCCAAACATCCTGTAATGCCCAAAAACCATGCAGAGGGTAAATATACATCACGATTTCACAAAAATGCAGGCTATTACTCACCTACTCGACCCTGCTGTTGGGGTTGCAAAATTCTCTTCTCCGTGCAAGTCACTGAAGGTGCAACCACATGTGCCCCAGCCTGAGGTTTGGCATCCGGCTGTTTCCCCCTTATCACCGATGCAGCATTTTTATTCAGTGTCCACGGATTTATCTTTGGCAATGGTGCTTCAACGTACTTCTTCTTCTCCTCCTCCTCAGGAACTTTATCAGAAATATTAGCGCCTTCGTCATCAACATTACAACTTTTTCCATCATTTTCCGACCTGTCCGAACATGATCCATTTATGGGTGGTTTACTGGTCACTTTATCGTTACTCTCCACTTTGTCGGGCAATCTCCGCGAATTCCTACCTTGTGGAATAATCTGTGGGAAATCCTCGTTGCCATTTGCACTGTTAAGAGTAGAGCTGTTCAATCCATGCTGCTTAACACTTTTTTGTAAAGTCGACTTACTTCTCGTAGGAGCTTCTTTTGCACAATGCTCCACAGGTGTCGGATGTGATACGGCATTTATGTTTTCCTTATTACTATCCATGTTCTTAAAATTAAGAACTGCGTTCGCGTACGATGCTCCGACCGTCTCTCTGCTTTGAGGGCCATCACTCGACTGTGCGACTTGAGCCGCCATTTTCCTTAATAAGACACAAGCGCAGTTTCACCACGAGGCGAGACGCAATTTCTTTTCTTACACTGACACATCAATATAACAGACAACCTAAATTAGAATTTCTCCTTCAATGGTAATCTTAACGTCCCCGTAACAATAATGTATTATATTTGGTGCCTGATACGTGGACAAAACACAATTATAGCATACAATATGTTAACCTACGGCTACGTAGAAGCATGGCATGCTGGAAAAACACGCCGACTATAACGCCATTCAACGATCAATGTTCCGTGTAATATATGAACCTGAACCAGCTATCGTACTTTTGTATGAAACCACTTTAACAAAATATATATATATATATTACAATCTGTCGATAATGTCTTTATATCACTTCACAAACTAAAATCACAAATTCAGAATCTCTTCCACACTGCCTAACCATTTACGATGTACATGCCCAGATTCTTGTCAGTGGTTTCACCACTCCAAAACAGAATATTTATTCGTACTTACTATACCTTTTCACTCTATTCCAAACATATTTCACAAAGCATGTTATTCGCCGCATACAACACTCCACAATCATGCATGTTAACTGACGCTTATTATAAAGACATCCACAGATGTCGCCACTCTCCAGATTCTGTACGTGAATATCAAAGCTCAAATATTATGAAACTCTTTTAAGGCACATAAAAGTGTGCTTTATAATTCCGCGTGCTCATTTACCTATAATGAATATAAACCTCACCCATTCTTAATTTATTTTGTAAATATGTAACTCCACATACCCCTTATCTATTTTTTATAGCATCCATAGATCCTCAGATGACAAACATGGAACCCTGCCAATACACCAAAGATCACATCGAAATGTGTTCAAAGCTTACAATCGGTGACGGTATGGAATTAAGCCGTTTGCGGTATTGTAACAAAATGTGTACGCTTCCCAGCAAGAAATAAGCACGCTCGGAACCGAAATACACATTCTTGCGGGTTCCTTGCAATGTGTATAACGTTATATTAAATCTGCCTGAAATTCGCACATTAAAACTCGCAGTTTTCAAATACTCAAAGCCAATCTAACCTACATTTAGGATTCATGCTTCTATCCGAATCAAAGCTTCCTTAACTGATATTAAACAAACCTAACATATCAAAACATCTCACCTAAGTAGATATCATTTAACCTAGCCAAAACGAATGTATCCTAACCTCGTAAAAAATACAATCTTAGCACACACGAACACATATTGATACCCACTTGCATCATTACTACCCATAACAACCACAGTAAACATTCAAAGAACCCGTAACATAAGTCGCCACTCGATCGCAGTACCACAAGTGTTGCATTGTCAGTCATATCAAACATGTATCATCCCTCCTTTATGCTTCCATCAATTAAGCTGCAAAACGCTACATTTTAAAAATTGCGTAAATGTTTCCTATTTTAATTTCTGTGAACCTGTGTGAATATTCCTTTTTTAGGGGGCTGCGTTTAACATTTTATTAAACAAGAAACTAGAGCTCTCATAACTTTGAAAAATAAGCAAACACAAAAATTACTTGCTCATACTGATGCTACACACACCTTTGAAATCACCAAAAATATATTTTGCTAAACTTTAATGCAGGATTACCGAAAATACATTTGAAACCACTGTTGTGTTTAGGGCAATGTATTGTGTCCCACAAATGAATCAGCATTATTCTATGGAAATCTTATTTATCTGCAGAAAACATCACAGCAGAACCATTTTTGTTGGTATTACAAAACACTGCTAAAATACCAGTCAAGAAGGATGGGGAAATGTAGATTAGTAAAAAAAACACAGTCATAAATGTTATTCCATGAGGCCCAACATTCCACAACAGAAAATGATCACCAACCATTTGCTTGTTGTACTGACATTTCTTCACAAATAAAGTACAAACTTATTTTGTAAATGTACCAAGTCAAATACCACATTCAAATGGGGTTATGGTTTAAAGGAAAAATAAATAACATCTGGTCTACCACGAAGAACTGTGGAAGTGTTTATGAATTAAGCAACAAGTTACCTTGCGACTACCACAATTTTTATTTAAAAGATAAATGTATTTTCAGATGTAAGCTATGAAAACTTTTAATTAATACAATTTTAAACCAACATATGAACATCATAATCTTCATTATTATGAAAATATAATTACAGTCATATATAATCAGTACTTGTGAAAGAACACTTATATTAAAAATTCTTGTGACTTTTGTACAAAATGCATAATGTTTAGACATTTTCCCCAGGACTACTCTAAGACCCTTCTTCACTTCACGTTTTAAACACCTTGAGGTACTGTTAAGAATAAGAGTCTTATCTTGGCGCCATCTAAGACCTGCAGAGAAAACTGTGGCCACCATCTAAATTATGGTATATCACCTACTATACTGTAGGATTTTTGGACTTTGCCCATCGTATAAAACTATACAAGGTTTCAAGGACAGGATCCAGTCCTCGAAATGCTGTTTTTTTATTAGAATATCAGACGATGGATAAGTCCAAAAACTCAACAATCCAGATTGTATTATATCATCACAACTGTTCGGAACAGATACGTTACGTAACCTTTAATGAGCCAACCCTAAGCTAGTGTAACACAATATAATATTCATCAACGATATGGTGTTAGCGAGGACCTGACCCCTCGCCGTAGTCATTACGATGCAAATAAAAGAAAGAATTATATTTCCAGTAGTCACAGCAACATGGAATAAAACATGGGAGATAAACAAGCGTGATGTCCGTGGCACGCCTGAATAAGAAGGGCATACACGAACAGAGCAAGACAGATTGGTGTCATCAATAGGCTATTATATGAAAATTGTCATGTCATCGTCTTAGTCTCTGAAGAACAAAATATATGTTCATTTATAGCAGACGGGTACAGTCTTTAATAAGTATGATTTGAGGTATCACAGCAGTGAGTCCGAAGATGGCCATCTTCTAGGTTGTACTGGCATGTACAAGACAGCCATCTTAGCATTTAACAGATTTACAGTCCTACAAATTAGGAAACAAACATAACCATATTCCAAGATTAAAAACCACCCCATGAGACAGGAGATGGCAGTAAAGAAACTAGCCTTGTAAGACAACAGTGAAAGTCATGTACGAGTTGATAACAGCACAGCAGAATGTTCAACCTCGCATGGTTTTTGTGATAACACAAATTTATGTAAACTGTTATGCAGATAAATATGTTAAGTGGAAGATTAACCCAGTGCCATTAATACATATGTAAGTATGAAGTATCATTCTTGTCTTCAGGTTTTCGCAACTGGAGACGAATGTATGATTTAGGCTTCTGGGGAACAGCATCTCAAATGTTGTAGGTTTTCCAAATTCTTCACCTCTTCTCCTACTGTACCAACTTCCTTTTCAATACGGTTTCCCCCTTCTTCATCACCACCTCTGCTCAGTACCCGCTCCTCTGTTTTGCCTGTTACGTCCTCCACATCTCACACATCAGCTACTAACTGCTCTATTATGGATTCACCCTGAACATGGCAACTGCAATCTTTGTTGAAAAACTGGAAGACCTACAACGTTCGATGTGGCTCACACCAAAAACCAAAGACTTTTATTGAATAACCGTGTTACTGAATGTATGTAAACCGGTTATTAACAAAACACAGTATGTCCCAGATTTCAATGAATAAAATTAGACATTTTTATTAAACTAAACCATTACGTAGTTCAGCCAGCGCTGGCACTTGGTGAATTGACGAATCTAGTGTACGTGTTCAAAATGACCACCGTTACCACAGTTGACAATGGTGAGCAACTGACTGACAAGTGGTCGTAAAAATTGCTAGTGTGTATACATCTCTTTGGGAGACACTGTACATGGGATCTGAATCTGACAAATTTCCATTTCAAACTTTGACATCATCAGCTGATGGCTGGATAACAGGCCATGAAGGTGTCTTTCCACAGCCTTTCAAACATATCTCTCTCACGCACGCGCACGCGCGCACACAAAACAAACATTCACACATATTCAATGCTACAGAAAGCATTACAATTACTTGGTCATTCTTACATACAGCGCTATCTGTGTTCACAAAACAACACTGGATGTAATTTCCTATTTGGCGCACGTACATGTCCTTCCAAATTACTTTGTCCCACCTCGTATATAAAGATTGCATCGCGCGTGATACTTAGGCATTTCGAACATAACATACGCGAATATTTCTAATTTCTTGACTTCCATTTTTCATAATTGTTAAATAGATTCTTTCAGTATACGTGGAAATATAAAAATCACTAATCCTGCTTCCCATGTTAAAAATTCTGTATTTGTACTCAACTATTTACTTTATTACTTATCTTCACAATTCTATTTTCAAGTTTTCTACTTTTGACATTTTCTTTAGCAAGCCATGTGACCAGAAACAAGGCCACTAGTCATCCATTAGTAAACAGGTGATGGTTTTGGAACTGATTCTCATTGAGAACTGCAGCATTTGACGGATTTAATGAGAATCAAACTCAGACATGATACAATTATCTTAAATACACATAATTATCCAAAATGGAGGCCAGAATTTGGATATCTGGGGTATATATTTAAAGATAGTGTAGAAATTTAAACGATCCACAACACAGTTGCTTTCTGAACTGCCATATAAATAATAAATAAACAAACAAATCTACCAAAAGGCTTTTGATTTCCTTCTTTTCCATTACTGTTTAACAAATTACAATTGTGAATTAATCCTCTGCCATCATTTAAAACACTAGTGTGTGGTGATGTCTGCCCCATTTTCTCTGGGTATTTAAATTTGCAATGATATCTTGCCAGGACAGAGCCCTTAAACGTTACTACATTCTACGACATTAAAAGGAAAAGGTGAAGTCCTCAAATATATAATTTAAAGCACATTTCTGTATGTAGCTGCTTCTGTGTCACAGCCTAGCTGTCCTTACTAAGAAATAGTAGTTTCAACAAATTACATAAAACTATGATTGCACAGTAATCACCAGTTGTTTATCAGAGCAACTACGGAATCTTGAGACACGCAATACTGTGTGAAATAGGTTAGGTTAGGTTAACTCTGCAGTCATCTGATCACACACAAACACAGCAGCGCACACAACTTCGTACACTAATTCAAAAGAGAAACTAATACACTTGTACACAAGCCAAAAAAATTTTAAATAAAGAGGTGACCTGTGCAGAATCACAACCTACGAAAAATAGTTGTTGAGGCACATAAAGTGTGACTGAACTAAGTGAAAGTAGAAGTTAGTATTCTTACTGACTGTACTTAATGAGCAACATCTTACAGATACAAAACAGGTCGTTCCCAATAACTTTGTATGAACCAACCAAATTCTTTCGGACAACTTGCCTGACGGGATAACCTCCCATCAGCAGCAACAGATCCCAGTTTGAATTGTCGAGGCTCCCGCCACGACGAAACCCTGTTAGCGTTAGCAAAATTTCCATTTTTATTTTAAGACCGTGTACCATTTCCAGCAATGCGCCTTGGGCGCAGGAATGGTTTCACCTACGAAGGGACGATGCTCCGCCCTCAGTTAGCTTTTTGGTTGGTTGGTTGGTTGGAACTTTGTATGATAACATTTCCTAAAGGTAGAGTATTATCTTGAGTGCGAAAATTGTTGTGGAGCGAACGTGGTCCATCAGCACTGCCTTTACAGAATCTTAACTCGTACAAATGTGTTTGACTGTATTGTTTTGTGCAAAAATCTATTCACTGGGACGTTAATAAATTAAAGCATTGCTCAATTTTATTTACATCACCAACTACTACAAGGATTGGGCCTATTGACCTCAAGGCAACTTGTCCTCATTAGTCTTGTAGGGTGCATCTGAGTAGTGAGTGACCAGCCCACTGACTCTGCACAATTTCTACTCAATCCTGATTTGTCTGCTAGAGCCATCTAGTAGAGAATCAGGAGAGACATGGGTGAGAAATGGCCGCTGAATCTTGCTTACAAAACATCTCGTTCATGCTCGCAAGGTTCTTTTACATGCCGTAAATCTACGACATGGGACCGCCGGCTTTACTTCCGCTCCGAAGGAAGTTGTGCTACGGATTTTTATCACCCTTAAAAATCCATCGGCCTCGGCCGGGTTTGAACCCGCGAACCTTGGGTCCAGTGGCGAGCACACTAACCACTAGTCCACCGAGGCCAACTAGTTTTATTTACGTAACTATAAAATATCAGTACCATACAAATTAAGCACCAGTACGTCTGCACACAAACATACACACGTTAACTTTTTATCTTAGTCACTCATGGCACTTCTTTTGTAAATATCTACCATATAAACATATCAAATATTTAGTTTTTTAATTTATTTTGTAATATTCATACCACCTTAAAAATCTCTACTGAATAACAAATGACTACGCTGCTGAATACTCAGCTCTGTGCGATGCTTTACACGATAACATGCCCACTCACTGCTTGTTACTGGTAGCAGAAAAACTGTACTCCAAATCAGAAGCAAATATTTCTAAATAAACTATACCCGCTGGCATGTAACATACCAGTAACTATTCCCAACCCATAATTTCCACCTTTTCCTTCCTCTCATGTTCCTAGAACAAAATGCTACAAAACTGGGGCCCAAACTATTAGAAATAAACAAATTCCCCCAAAACATTACTATAAATCGTTGTTGATATTCTTACAAGTTGTATCCTGTTTACGTATTCACCATTTTTTTTAGCCCTCACACAGACATTTAACTGTCGATTATAAAACATTTTTCCTTCACTTCAAGTTTCAATATAAACAGAACATCAGGCGTCTAACACTCATCATAATAACTGCACATTGAACTTCAGAATTTATCACACTGAATATATACAGCGCAAATGTCAGGGTAGTACCTTAAATTAGGCCATGACCGCTTCCTTCCACATCCTTTCCAATTCATTATTCACCATCATCCTCTCATTTGGCAGTCATGTAAGGTGATTTATTGAACAAAATGCCAAAATTTCAAGAACCATCTTCGTCCTCGTCCTCAGGGTGCTATGGCTGTAGGAGATCCCATCTGTCTCCTACAACCAAAGTAAATAATTTATAACTTACTTACATGTTATCAACGTCTGAGGACGTTTCTTTAACAGCATCTGGCATGTAACTAAATTACTAGCTTTCTTATAAGAGTTATACAGAGTTGTTAATGTTACGCGGTGTTACAGCTCTTATCTAGGTCAATATTACATTAAAAATCAGGTTTCCTGTGTATATAAAATCGGTGTTTAAACAGAACATTTCTAACGTACTCTTGGTTTTATGTAAAATCTGCCCAGTGTTCTAGACGGCCACATAAATCTCTTGTTTCTAGAATACGCTGCACAAATTTTGAATTTGTTTTATTCTCCTATCTTATTTTAAATGTCAAAGCAAATGAACATAATGAAACTGATAAAATCTGCAGTTCAATGAGCAATTACTTTTGCAATTTGCAGGTTACCCACCTGATGACGATTTATAGTGGACAATAAAGTGTGTCATAGCTAAAATAAACATAATCCCCGTTGACAAGGCACACATTTTGTTGTAGTTTCCAGTTATACGTCTACGTATTTCCTCTTGAAACGCTGAAATGATTCAATGATGGCCGCTCTGTAAAAAGAGATAAAACCTGCTAACAGACTTCTGAAACAAAAGAAAAAGAGCCTTGCAGCTCTGTGCAGGCCGTTTGTCTGCCAGCCACAATAAAACTGAATTCAATACTGTAAACGCTACCTGTTAAATACAACCAAGACGCAAATCAAATTGAGTAGTCTGCTCAATGTGAAGAGATGCTGTTACAAGGACGGCAAAGTCCACTACATGCCTATTCATTCTTAACCTTGGCATTAGATAGGGGTGAGTGGACAGTGCCACATCCCGGCTGCACTTTACCCAACGAAAAGACCCTGGTACCCGTTGGACAGGAGGTTGGGTGGGCCCCAGAGCCACTCTGGACGCAGAGGCTATAGGAAAAATCAATCCTCTGTCCCTGTTGGTTCCCCTAACTCCACTTTTCTCATAAGATCTGAACATCATGCATCACAGTTTAGCCATTTCGAGGGGCTTTGAAGAACGTAACCCCTGCAAACAGCGAGGGCGCGCTGTATTCTATTCTTGTAAAGTTAAGTTCAAGTTTTCAAATGGTGCCACTTTTGTAACAAGATACCGATTATAGTACCATAGGAAAAATCCTATCTAAATCCTTGCTGTAATTCAATTACCTGAAAGTGTGTTTGTGAAGTAGGTACGCACTGACGTGGCCCGCGTCAAGGAACCGAACTTCTGTGCCAGGCCATATGTCAGTAAGATCAGCGCATCCTTCTCTTGGGATATACGCATCATCCTTCGCACAAATTGCTATGATTAGGGACGTGTCCACGGGGACGGTGAAGTTCCGCAGATGAGTGCATTCATCCATAATTCCATGCATAAATAACACCGCTTCATCTTCACGCCAGCGCGATACACTATGCTTGATGTTTTCTGAACATAAAAGAACAATATAAAGCATTATTATGAATGTGCCACCACAACTCTCAAGCACAGAATTTATATAAATTCTACGAACAGTTTCATAAAACCAGGAATTATTTTGAATCGTATGGTAGGTTCAGCTGTCTGTCCACAACCACCTTGTCAGAGGCACATCTGATGTCATGTTATAATGATAACTCGCAATAAGGTGAAATACAGTGATCATTAACATCAAGGAGTCATGTCATTTATTGATCTATTCCAGCATCAAGAATCCAAAAGTCTCTTTAAGGGTTCTCATCTGTTTCTTAAGCCATGTGGTGTGAATTTTTTTAATAGTTTGGGAAGTCTGTCTTTGCCTTTTGTCAATATGTTACATCCAAATGGTTTTATATTTCAAAATTTTGTCCACTACAGATATTTCGTTCTTTTAATGTTTTCATTTCTTTCGTAGCCCATCTTAGTCTACTTTTCTGTCTGTCTCGTACATTTCATCTTCCACTCTCATTTATCCAGTTTTCACTCCACATACAAGTGTCGGCTCAGCTAGTACACCATAAATTTTCATTCTGGTGTGTTTTTGGACATTTTATGCTTGAAAAAATGTGTTGATAAAACCGAAATGAGAACCATTATAAAATGATGTATGTTGAAACTCCTGACGCTTCCATTAAGATTATTCTTGGCAATAAAAGTATGCCAGTGTTAGTGTACGTGGTAGAATGCTGACAGATTTGGGTTGTAACATTAACAAAGCTATATACATCTATCAATTTAGACTAGAATCACATCAGTGAATTAGATATTTTCTTAAACTTCAATTATTACATTTACAATGAAGTAACATTGTAAGAAGAGTAAGATTCACACTTATCTAATTACAGCCAACATTCTAGGTAACGAGTTTCATGCTTTGTCAATATATTTCTATCTGGACCTCTCGCAACGTCTTCAAAAATCTGAACAAGTGTTCACGTGTACAACCAGTCAAAAAGATGAATGAACAGATACAGCACATCCACATCGTTTACACAAGTACATCAACACAGCGAGTGGTTTACAACCTTTTGGCTGTTTCTCGCATCCTAGTCGCCTAGGATTTTTCCCCCCTTCTCAGAGTAACAGGTGGCAAGCCTGCTGCCTCCACACAATTCCTACTCAATCCTGATTTGTCTGCTAGAGCCATCTGGCAGCAAATCAGAAGAGACATGAAGATATCCGTCTTCTGGGTTGTTGCGCTGTGTAGTCTGGAAGACGTTAACCAACGTTTCAGAGGTCATACTGCCTCCGTCATCGCCCTGATGACGGAGGCAGTATGACCTCTGAAACGTTGGTGACAGAAATCTTCATACTCACCGCCCTGATGATGGAGGCAGTATGACCTCTGAAACGTTGGTAAACATCGACCAGACTACGCGACGCAACAACCCAGAAGACAGAAATCTTCATATTCACCACTGTGAAAACATCAAGTCTTACAGAAGAGACATGCGTGAGAAATGAATTCTGCTTACGAAACATCGTTTCACGCTCATAAGATTTTTTTACAAGCCGTAAATCTATGACATGGGACCGCCAGCTTCACTTCCTCTCTGAAGGAAGTCATGCTACAGATTTTTATCATACATGAAAGAAAGTCTCTTAGAAAAAATTTTACATAAGAATTACATAAGTTGTTGCAAAGTATGTGGCCTTTTAAGTCAAGTTTAGTGAAGAGAAACACATGCAAAGGAGATGACCAGAACCTGGAAGAAGACAAGGTGACAAGACGACTACTTTATTAAATAATGTGATGTACTGCTGCATCAACATGTGAAAGGAGGGGGGGGCAAGGGGGAGGGGAACCCCACTCAAATTCTGCTTCATAATAAATGTTGGAAAATAGGGATTTATTGTAAAGGAAAAATGTTTTAAGAATAAATTTAAATTAAAGTACGAAACACATCCTTCTGAGATAAAACACGGTGAAATATTTTTATAAATAATATCAGAATGTGACCCTACAAAGTTTCAGAGAGACTAGGTAGTTTTAGAAGAAAACAGAGAGACATACTCTAACAGAACGCACAGAACTTACAAATTCGCACACCTCGTTCCTTCAAAGATGATGCAGCAGATACCATATTGTGTGGTCACAAATTATTTATCCTTAACATTAATTATGCCAAAAAATGTTAGTAGATTTTTCTCATGTGCCAGTTTTTTGTAAGAGAAAGGTGACAGAAGTTTAATTTCAGCTTCAAATGAAGCTGGGGTTACACTTAGCCAATATTAACCAAAAATTAATTTCACCTGATGTACACACCAAAACCAAATTCCAAACAAATCTTTTCAGAAGTTTTGGAGATTAAATATGAAAACCTAGACACATCCCGCCATATGTGCATTCACTTAAAATATTTTATTATACAAATGGATAGGTGGAAAACAACGAATGATTCCTTTGACAACTTTTATCTCCCTTGTACTTGCATCTTCTTGTCCCTTTTCGCGTGCATTTCTTTGCCATCCCTCACAATTTGAAAAACAACGGAAAGTATTAGAAACGCTACATAATACATTTTTAACCTGACGCTGGAAGCATCTATTCGGAAACTTGAGATCTCAGGACACATAGGCATAAAATCAATACACGTGAGTGCATATGCAGATGATATAGCTATTATTAGCAGGAATAAATCTGCACTGGAAGAAACAGTATTAAAATTGATAGAAGAAACAGAATTAAGGGGGCTAAGAATAAATGAATCGAAAACAAAATATATGAAAGTTACAAGAGCAGCAAGAAATGTCACAAATAAATTGAGAATAGGGCATTATAATTTTGAACATGTGCAGAATTTTAATTACCTGGGTTCACAGATTAATACTATAAATTCAGTAACTAATGAAATTAAAGCACGTATTGTGAATGGAAATAGATGTTATTATGCCTATCAGAATTTAATGAAGTCTA